TGGTTGTTTACGTGATATATCGATATAAAGACAACGATTATATTCTACGAGTATTTTCTGTACTATAATTACAAATGTAGTAAAAATAATATCGTTACTTTCATATACTAACTTTTATTATCGTATTATTAAGATAATATACAGCACTTATAAGCTTAGCTTTTTTATTATATACGCCTCTAAATTGAAGGATTTCCTTTGATATCCATTATTATAATCGAGTTACCTCTTGTCGTAGATACACGAATACTTTCGGATGTTTTCGATAAATCTTTCCGGATCTATTCTAGAGTAGCCACGAGGGCACGTACACAAAAGCTCGTTTTCCGCCATTTTAGCTTCGTGTTGCGATGACGTAGTTCCACTGACTTCTGATTGGTTGAAGGTACCGTTTTACGGTCGTAATCCTGTCGAAAGTTGAACATAGCTCAACTCGCTTTTACGCTGGTTTTACGGCCTGCTCAAGCGTAAGATATCAGGGTCACGTGGTTAAAAGCTTTTACGTCGAGGGGTTTTTACGTTGTTTTTACGGTAGTGGAGTCCTAGCCTTACTTTTGCCCGAGCAACGCCGGGCCCACCTGCTAGTTTTCAAATATTCTTCCTTCATTGTCGATTTAATTTAATTTTTTATATAAGTAAATAAAAGAAATGAATTTGTTTACACTTTAGACGGGTTCCGGTCTCCGGTCTATATTTTGAAATTTAAGGAAGTTGTTTATTTTTAAACATTGTTCTGTTATTAACTTGCATAATTTTACTAAGAGTATTAATTAGCCATGCATTTTATACTGCAAATTAATAATAATAAATGCTTTGAATTCGTATATAAAAGGATAAATAATGCAATCAAATTAATAGAATATCGGAACAACAAATTTTGTTCCGGTAGTTTTATCACTTCCCTTATATTAACTTTTTCTTATTATTTCTACTGGTTTTAAGGCCGATCTTTCATACGGACAGTATTTTATTACAAGAACTTTTTGGGAATGTTTAGTTTGTGCCAGTGTAAAAAAGAATTGGATGTAAAGTATGTGTATATATATTAAAAAATTAGCATTTAAATTAATAAATTAATATTATTTATTAGAAGAGAAAAAAAAGTGCCGTGACCAAGATTTGAACCTGGGTTATTGCGGCCACAACGCAATGTCCTAACCACTAGACGATCACGGCTACTTTGACACATCGCTAAACTCTTATTCTTAAAATTATTTCACTTCATATATTGATAAAATATTTCACAATTAAGTTTCGGAACTATTTTCAGAAAATTTTCAATTTTCATATATATATTTCATTCCATAACTTTAATGAAATTTTTCATTTTTTTTGCTATAACATCCTATAATTTAGATTTTTTACAAACTAGCTTTTCAATTTTTTTCATTTTCAAGGAGGCACTCACTGATCAACACTACTGTTGATTCTGTATTCCAGTGTGTTATTTGAGTTTCTGGATAAAAAATTAAATCGGTAAAAGATGGACTACCATAAAACAGAATTTTCTCTTCTCTGATTTCTTCCACTATCCTCAAACTCTCAAACCTTTTGAGCGATCAGAACAAATTTTGCATAGTTAGTCTATAAAATCCTCCAAAAAATACAAGCTACTTTCGAACTCTTAACTCTAGCTCCTTCCGCTGATTTCATCCCCACAAATTGACGATCTCTTTGACTTGTACCAAATTTTGCATAGTTACTATCTGCCACCCCACATATAACAAAGTCAACTCAACTTCTTTCCTGAGTTTCTGGGCAATGCTGGGCATTCTTTGCTAGTTTTTCTATATACCTCTCTATTTACCAGGAGATACTTCCCACGTAGTTTAAAGGCATTGTGATAATGTTCTTAAAATTAATTTTTAAACATTTTTGAAATTTACGATTAATTAATTAATAACGGTGTAACCATTCAAGACTTCGGATATATACATGGTTTTTGCTCTTTTCTGAAGCTAAAACCATGGAGAAAGTAGCTGTGCAGAATGAAAGTCCATTTGCAGAGCATTCGTAAAGAAAAAGAGCAATTATTAAAGAGGTTGCGGCCGACGTTTTCATCGCGAAAACATGTACGTCGCACATTCAGCGCCGCCTTCCTGTAAGCGTAGAAGTTTGACAATAGCGTTTGGAACGTTAGTGGAATCATGCTCGACATATCAAACACCATTGTCAAACTTCTAGGCTTACAGGAAGGCGGCGCTGAATGTCCGACGTACACGTTTTCGCGATGAAAACGTTGGCCTCAACCTCTATTTATTGTGACATCGTCATAATGCCAGACTGCAATTTTGAAGCATATTTTTAATTTATTTCATTTAAAATATATGCTCTCCACTTCAAATTAGTAGTTACTTGCCCCTGTACAGTACATCATACTTTTCCTTTAATAGTATCGGGCCGGTCATCTATCTTAACACCTTTCAAGGGGGGGGAACTATTAAATTGAAATAACATGACTTCAGATTTGAATCGGAATTTGATACATAGTTAATCGTGGACTTCTGTCCCTAAGGTTTCCATAACTAGTCTTGCCTTTCGTGTACCTAACTCTGTTCAAGAGATTAAGAAAAGACGGACGGACGATAATGGAAATTAATAGATATACAACTATTTCAAATTGCAATCCAAAATAAATATCTATTGTAATATTGTAATAANCTCGACATTCCAAACACCATTGTCAAACTTCTAGGCTTACAGGAAGGCGGCGCTGAATGTCCGACGTACACGTTTTCGCGATGAAAACGTTGGCCTCAACCTCTATTTATTGTGACATCGTCATAATGCCGGACTGCAATTTTTAAGCATATTTTTAATTTATTTAATTTAAAATATATGTTCTCCACTTCAAATTAGTAGTTACTTGCCCCTGTACATCATACTTTTCCTTTAATAGTATCGTGCCGGTCATCTATCTTAACACCTTTCGGGGGGAATTATTAAATTGAAATAACGTGACTTCAGATTTGCATCCGAACTTGGTACATAGTTAATCGTGGACTTCTGTCCCTAAGGTTTCCATAACCAGTCTTGCCTTTCGTCTACCTAACTCTGTTCAAGAAATTAAGAAATGACGGAAGGACGATAGTGGGAATTTATAGATATACAACTTTTTCAAATTGCAATCCAAAATAAATTATTTGTTAATAATATTACAATTATATGCTAAAATGTTAAAATGTGATTAATTCGATATCTGTAGTATTTTGCAAATGTCAGGTTAAACTACTTTTCGTATTCTTTCATTCTGTTACACTTCAGTGACTTCAGATATTTATAGGAAATAGGGACAAGTTTAGAGACGTCTCGGAGTTGCCGTGATCGTCTAGTGGTTAAAACATTGCGTTGTGGCCGCAATAACCCAGGTTCGCATCCTGGTCACGGCACTTATTTTTTTTTCTAATAAATAATAGTATTGTAAATATATTCTACATCATCTATAGTTGATTGGTGAAAGTATTTTGCAATTTGGTTGGGACAGTTCTGTTCAAGCCATTGTATTATATTTCACAATAGATAATCATACATACGAAACTAATTTAATTCATTCGTGGGTTGATCGAGAAAATAATGCTTATTGGGAAGATCAAGATCAAAATTTGTTTCGAGCTTCCTTCGAAAGCCAAGCAGATGTTATGGAATTTGCATTTGCATTTGTTAAGGTTAGTGTGATTGATTTATTCATTTTGTTTACCCTGGACAATTTCATTTTTAAATTAATCTTGCAGTATACCGATAATGAATAATCGGTATATTCTAATTACAATCTTTCTTTTGATTTTAGGGAAATTCAAATAATTCACACGAAAATACCAAAAGTCAATGTAATTAATTAATGTAAATCACATTAAAAATGAATATATTTTATTACTTTATAAAATTTTAATATCATTTTAGTTGAATCAACATTTTCTGAAAATAATCAATCGCTCAGTGTAACAAAGAAAAACAAAATATTGCCTTCTAATTCCACTAATTCCAGTCCAGTTATGGATTTTCCAGGGAGTTCGAACAGTACTCTCTTAACTATCTCAGAAAATAAATATCCCGATTCCCTTCTTGTAGAATCTGGGAAAAGAAATATTCGAAAATCTTCTTCTAAAAATGTAACTTCTAAAACATCAATAAATTTACATGACACAGGAAATCAAACTCCAAAAAGCGGAGAAAGTTCAAAATGCAATTGTTCTTGTGATAATTGTAATTCTTATCAGGACAAAGGAACCCTTTTAGAAACTTACGTAAAAGTCCCTTTAAACGTTAAAAGTGTTGACGTCATTTCAACAATATCTTCAGTTGAAGAACATTCTCTTTCAAAAGAAAATTCTACCGCAAATGCCTTTGAAATCGTCCGTAAAATTTGTTGTCCGTTCGTGTCACCCATTATTAGATGTCTACAGACTTTAGGTTCTCTATTTCCACCATGTAAATTTATAATAATTATATAAGTTATAGTATTATTTATTTTATTATATTACTTCTCTGAGAAATTGTTTTTCTTTTCCAGAAAGAAAATATTCGTGTCTTCTCTGATTTATATTTTTTAAAAGAACTACATCAATTAATATAATGATTTATCAATAATTACCTAATCAAATAAATATATTATTTAACGTAGAAAATGTGTTTAAGAAATTTTTAATTTGTTCAACTTTAATTGTATTGTGTTATTAGTAGCATAATTTAAGAGGAAAATACAATTTGTGAGCTTGTAAGATATTTTATTGTTTCTATTGGAATTAATCTTTCAAATCTCTTGTAAATACGGACAAGTTATACTATTTCTTAATGTCCCTTTCGTACTCGGCGATGAAATTCGTCCTAAATACAAAAAAAAATCTTATAAAATATTTAATCATAATCCAAATTTTAATCAGTTATTCAGAAGAAAATCTTGATTTCCGTTTATTTGTTCGATACGACTGTTTACAAGAAAAATACACAGTAAACAGTATTATTCGCGACCTTGATCCCGTACCCTATTATCACCATTATTTTTTACGTTCGATGAAATGGAAATGTGTCACAAGTCAGAAACTATCTGTATAACAAAGCAGTTAAATAGAACGAACTTGATATTAAATAATTCTACAATTAAATCTCACGAAAATAATAAATTTGTTCACTTTTTTATTCTCTATTTTTATACAAAAAACGTGTAAAAATTTTTACACACAGTCTTAAACTAGATCATTCTGTTCTAATGATATCACGAATAATTCCTTTAAATTNGTCGAGAGGCTAGCGTTTGCCTACAAGAAACAAATACTGTATTTAGCATACAATTCTTAAGAATTTCGTCAGAAATGTAGTTGTAGAATAGAGATATGTACACACCTTCGAGCGGAACGACTTGAACTCAACGAATCTTGCTCTTTTCTCCGCGTTTCCGTCGAAAGGCTAGCGTTTGCCTACAAGAAACAAATACTGTATTTAGCATACAATTCTTAAGAATTTCGTCAGAAATATAGTTGTAATATAGAGATTGTTACGCGTGTTATTCCATTGTAAGAAAATTAAATATTAGTAATTAGCTGTACTCAGCCACGCGTTGCTGTGGCTCAAAATGTATCTATTATAAATGTATAACACTTTCAGCGGGAGGGAATTTCGAAAAATCCCTTCTTAGTGTACGTTCTTTTGACGTACCCTATTAAAATGCAATCAAAACGTAGGAAATCACATCTAAAATGTCATAATAGAAGCCGAGTTCTTCATGGTAAGCCTTAATTTTGTCCCTCTCCTACGTGGGGGAAATTTCGACATCTATATAATATAAAAATACACACGTATTCGAATGCAACGTTGTGTCAAAATTTCAAAGCAATCGGTTAATTAAGAACTTTCGGAAATTTAAGATTTTGAACAAACGAACATTTACATTTTTATTTATATAGATTTCGTTAAAAAATGAGATATTTAATTATTGTTTTAAAGTTATTTTAAGATTATTTAAATTTTGTTTTGGGCTGTTGTATAGATTACACCCGGTGGAATTTTGGGACTTTGAATATATATCTGAACTGAGGGGACGGAGAAGAGTTCAACGATACCCTACTTTTGGACCGGAGACGAAAAATAACAAAATTATATTTACGACTTCTTGCCTTTTACAAATGCATTCTACGCCATTTTAGAGTTTTTCACTAGGTGGCGCTTTCTGATTCTTTATACATATTGTCCCTGTTAAAAAAGTAGTCTAGTTCTTTATCTCATCATGTTAATTGATGATCAAACTTTAACAACTTACACATCTACAGAGGATACTGTTGCTTAATGTTCTCGATCAACTTGACGAAGGGGTCCCATCCTGTTGCTGCGCGTGACGGAGCCACAGATACTCGCACAGATGTAAAACTAGATTATTGTCTGTTATTCCACCACGGCTGAGTCGTCTTCGCAGTGATCGCCAGTTACATTCTACAGTTTGTGTATTGGCACCATCTTCGGAAAATTCACGCTAAGACGGTTTGGTGCTCGTATCCATATTCTTCTAATCAACTACCAGTATATCTCTTCCAAACATCCGTGATGATTGTAGTTTCGGGTTCGACATGCTTCTGTATGAAAGCAACCAATGTCGGCTTGTCTCGGCAGTTTTCGGGGCTATCTCTAAAATCAATAGCTTCCTCTCGGTCGATTATGCCCAACAACCAGTGTTCATCCACCATCCTGCCACGGTTGTACTTTCGGCGTCCTAATTTCATTTCATCGACTTCCACTAAATGACCGGGTCTGCCAATTTTTTCTTCTGAATCATACTCTGCGTCTAGTCATTCGTGGTGACTTCACGACAGTAATTAAACCAATCTACCACGGTGTTCGGGGAGGTCTTTTCATCTTCAAGCGACGATTCGTGTGTGAGGTCAGCCGATTAGGGTGAGGTTTTTCGACAGCTGAGCGGTTCCTTCTGTCGTGTGGGCGCAGAATGACTTTCTGAGACAGGTTTACCATCTTTAACCCGTTTATTATATAACAAAAGATTCTTACATCGTACTTCAAATATTCAACGTAACACAGCTCGGGGAGCAAATTAAAAGTTCCTTCAAGGGTCCGACTTTCTCCGTTTGGTCCTTCGATGTCGTACGTTGAGATCGACGGCCCCGGGGCGTGCGGCACAGCTTCGGCGAAAGTCTCTGGTGAAAGGCAAATCTGTGCAAATCAAGACGTCACGGGAGAGCGACAGTAAGTCACAGGAGTTGACGAATCGGTTGCTGTTGATAAGTAGGATCACACAAATCCTGAAGAGGAGCACCAAGAACCAAGAACCTTTGTCCCTTGAGTCGCACGGTTTTATAGATTTCTTAACCGTCGTCGCCTCTCCATTGGTCTCTCATAGTCACCTGGTGACAATTCGAAACCTAATGAAGGGCGCGGGAGAGGTCAACGTTGCGACTGAATATGATTCCTCTCTCTCGTCGCGTTTTCCTCGAATTTATCCGTTTCCATTGTTTAACAAATTTACGAAAAAAAAAAACAATTGCATTGTTCAATCGAGACACCTAATCCGTTTCCTTAGCGTCTGAAAAGGCGCTCTTTATTTTCGATCGACACCCCTCATTCGGACCCCTCAATCGACCCCTGTTCGGGTCCTCACACGTGGATTGCTTTATCTCATTTCATCTGGTGCGCCCAGCAGTACATTAGAATGATTGCTTTTCGTGGTGAGATTCGGACTTGCTCAAAGAAAGTATCAGTCGTGATTTGTTGTTCCTGTCCGTGCTTATGGCATCGCATCCCCATCATTTGCCTTTATCTTTCTCTTCGGTCAACACTTCTAATTTCATCCACTCTTTGCATTTATTACACTTTTTTGTTTTACGAAGGAGACCCTGATCTTGTAACTACTCAATACATGTTTTCTTATCTTTGGCTATTTCTAATACTAGCTTAAGGAAGTACAATTTTCAAAATTGCTGCGTAGAAAATAGAAAATTAAGCAGACGACACCGTAGTTGCTAGTACAGCCGTCTAGCGGTGAAAATGTGCAAACTATTCAAATAATACTGAAAGGCAAGAAATCGGGCTATCCAAAAATCGTAAATATAACTTTCGAACTTTGAGAACAAAAAAGTCAAAGGAACCATACCACTACGCGCGACCCTTCACGAGATATAGCCATGTAAAGAATCGCCTACTACCTACGTCATTTCCAGCGATGGCGATCGGAAGTCGCGTCGCTCTCTCCGCTAAGACTATCGCGTGTTTAACAGTCAGTTCGGCCACATATTCTAAAGACACATCTGCAAAGACTAAAGAAAACTGCCCACGTAAAAGGCCAAGAAAACAGACTGTACACTTACCTTCAATAGAGGCAGATGTTGATCCACGGGTCGGGGCCTAAGGCCCCTCTTCCGCGACAAGCTCGCTATCGCTCGCGGTCGTCTAGTACTACGCGCCGCTTTCGCGGCTTGTCCAAAAAACCTAACTTGAAATTCCACCGGGAGTAATCTATACAACAGCCAAATAAANCGAATTTATCCGTTTCCATTGTTTAACAAATTTACGAAAAAAAAAAAAAAACAATTGCATTGTTCAATCGAGACACCTAATCCGTTTCCTTAGCGTCTGAAAGGCGCTCTTTATTTTCGATCGACACCCCTCATTCGGACCCCTCAATCGACCCCTGTTCGGGTCCTCACACGTGGATTGCTTTATCTCATTTCATCTGGTGCGCCCAGCAGTACATTAGAATGATTGCTTTTCGTGGTGAGATTCGGACTTGCTCAAAGAAAGTATCAGTCGTGATTTGTTGTTCCTGTCCGTGCTTATGGCATCGCATCCCCATCATTTGCCTTTATCTTTCTCTTCGGTCAACACTTCTAATTTCATCCACTCTTTGCATTTATTACACTTTTTTGTTTTACGAAGGAGACCCTGATCTTGTAACTACTCAATACATGTTTTCTTATCTTTGGCTATTTCTAATACTAGCTTAAGGAAGTACAATTTTCAAAATTGCTGCGTAGAAAATAGAAAATTAAGCAGACGACACCGTAGTTGCTAGTACAGCCGTCTAGCGGTGAAAATGTGCAAACTATTCAAATAATACTGAAAGGCAAGAAATCGGGCTATCCAAAAATCGTAAATATAACTTTCGAACTTTGAGAACAAAAAAGTCAAAGGAACCATACCACTACGCGCGACCCTTCACGAGATATAGCCATGTAAAGAATCGCCTACTACCTACGTCATTTCCAGCGATGGCGATCGGAAGTCGCGTCGCTCTCTCCGCTAAGACTATCGCGTGTTTAACAGTCAGTTCGGCCACATATTCTAAAGACACATCTGCAAAGACTAAAGAAAACTGCCCACGTAAAAGGCCAAGAAAACAGACTGTACACTTACCTTCAATAGAGGCAGATGTTGATCCACGGGTCGGGGCCTAAGGCCCCTCTTCCGCGACAAGCTCGCTATCGCTCGCGGTCGTCTAGTACTACGCGCCGCTTTCGCGGCTTGTCCAAAAAACCTAACTTGAAATTCCACCGGGAGTAATCTATACAACAGCCAAATAAATAAATATCAAAATAAAACTAATTTAATATAACTTATTCTAAAGTTTTATAATTTAAATATTAAACGTGATGAATCGTAAGTTTGAAAATTATTCGAATGTTTTTAAAATTACAAAATTTATTTATAATTTTACATTTAAAAAACATTAATTAATTAATAATATATAAAGCAAATATTAAGTGCGATATTATAAAATAAATGTAAAGAAATTCTATTAGGAATTCATTAACTATAAACGAATTGGAATGTTTTGTGTGTAGGCATTTTGCTTTTGTGAATGCGTTCTATTGGATGAAAATCTATAATTAACTAATAGAAATGTTTTAAAATGTCTTACTTTATTTTGAAATCTTTAGATAATTCTTTTACTTTTTATATTTCATATGAATTTGCCGACTCTTTGCCGATACTAAAATTTTCTTGGATAT